GTAGGCATGATCTCTAGCCAGAGTGAACTGGCCCTGTACTTCACACCATCACATCCAAATCTTCCCACTCTCAAGCCGTCAGTAGAGGCGGTGCCAACACACAGCAAAATTCAAGGTCTCCAAAAGGAAGATCGCTATCCACAAAATCTCTTTAAAAAATGCAGAGAGCTTAGATATCCTAGCAAAAGCTACTGGTGGCAAGCGATCACGGAAGGTGGCAAAACGAACCTCCAGCAAGTAGTCTCTCAAAACACTAGCAGACAGCCACCTTCCTTGTCGTCTCACCAGTTTGGCGTCCTCGAAATGCTGAGGTAAAAACGTTGCGCCTCCTAGGCACAGGGAGGCCAAGTCAAAAGGTGCTTGGCCTCGTAGCCTCACCAAAAGGAGCCCCAGGACTTTCTGGAGCATCTGGAACCTTCTACGTAGCACTTGGCCCCAAAGGGGCCCGAGCTTTCTCTTTCTCGGAAGCTTTCCAAAAACTGCTTCGAACTGGTGGTGAGTGGTAGATCCTCGTATTTTTGGCTGTCTAATCTGCGCCAAGGCAAACCAGGTTCCAGGCGCTGCATCTTCTGGCAGCACTAGGTCTTTTCGAAAGGCGTCCAGGACCTCACTGATCCTCCGAATACCTGTCCAGGTCATCAGCGGCAGTGGGGCCTCCACAGGCCAACCCCATAACAAAGCAAGCCCTGAAAACGCTAGTACTACTGAGAGTGGCATGGCAGGGAGGTGGGCATGAGGTTCATCAGTAACCCAAGCGAAGGCTAGATCCCAGACCCCTACCAGCAACTTCTTCAGCGTTGGCTACTGCGTCTCTGGTCTCGCTGTAGCGGCCATACGACTTTCCAGCATAGTAGAGCTCCTTTCTGTAGGCTACTAAGGTGTCTGACACACAATCAGCATTACGCTTGCGCCGATCCAGCAACTGCTCCAATGCCAAATGATGGCTCTCAATGAGCCACTGTTCAAAAACATCAAACAGTTGCTCCCGCCGAGTCCGAGTCTGACTCTGTCAGCCAACAGGGTCACCTCTGCTAGGCGGAGTGCCTTCTCCTTCACTTCAGCTCCAGCCGGGCCCAGTGACATGGCTGCTACTCCATGGCTCGGATAAAAGGCTAAACTAAAGAAAACTATGGACCTCTGCGTCATTACCCAGGGAGTGCCATTGAGAGAGCAAGGGAGATGGAGGGCAGAGGGACAGCTGCGAAGGAAGGCAAGCAAAGGAAGTGCCAAATCCAAGACCACGCTACGATGAGACGAAGCAAGCGACGTAAGTCCATGCACCTCCAAACCACCAAGAAAATGGCAAGGAGGGAAGCAAAAGTCCAAAAGTCCACCAAAGTCCAGCAAATCCAAAAGTCCAATGAGAGCCCCCGGCTGAGAAAGGGGTTTCGTAGCAGGCGGCGTGACCAGGCCCCAGGTGCCATACGAGGATGCATAGTCGCAGCCAATTTGCACAGCGACAGGGGAGACCTAAAGCATGTAGGTCCTCTGCGGCATCTCGAGCAAAAAGAAGAAGTACAGAATGAGTTGCAGGCTCGCGGAGGCAGTGATCTCTGGTTGGATCATCCGCAACGTTCAGTCCCATCAGAACAGAACCCAAGGCCGGGTAGAGTCCAAAAGTCACTTGGATTGCGGCGGCTCTCCGCAGTGCAGGAGATAGGGCGTAGGCTGAAGACCGCCCCTTTGAAAACGAACCTTTCGCAGCTCTTGAATCCAGAAAAACTGAAAATCTGCATCCTCCTCCTCTCAACGCAAGGTGCTTCAGTAGAGTCGTATAACCTCCTTTCTTGTCGCCTCCAAGCCGCAGGACCTCAGCAACTTCAGGCAAGACAGCCCTTGCAGTGACAGCTCCTCGATGCATGGAGGCGTCGGTGGCGAAGACCTCTTTCAGGTAGTCAGCTGAAACATCAGTAGTAGCGACCCATGAGAGAATAGCAGCAAGCAGCAGCTTCTGAGCAGCGCTTCTGGAAAGACGGAACACTCTCGAAACGTCCTCCTTCCCTTTCGATGTCTCCAAGCTGTAGATCTTTGACAGGAGGCAAGTGAGGCACATCCGATACATCAAAATCGACGACCAATTTCCAGCAAGCCTTGCGGCCAGGGATGATGAGATGATCGACCTGGAGGCCACTCGCATTGACAGGACTACTAAGGCCCCTCTCTTCTCTGCAGGAGCGGCCACCATAGTCATGCTCTTTGATCGTGCTGCTTCCGATGAATTGACTTCTGCCCCAAACACCTTGAGATGAGATGGCCCCCTGCCACCCTTCTCCTGAGAACCCAGGACACCGTCCTTCTTGTAGGCGTGGAAAGCCCGATCAATTGTCTCCACTCTAGGAGAAACCTCAACCGCAGTGGAGAGCTTGTCAACCGAGACCACGAAGTAGTCATCTAACAGAAGGCCCCCATAGAGCCTTCCATTGGGGAGAGGCTTCTTCCCGAGTATTCGACACTCAGGTGCCCGCAGCCCTGCATCCTCCAGCAAGGACCCATGTGCCGAGAGTGCAAGCTCAACTCCCAAATGAACTCCTTGCAAGAGAGAACGGAAATCAGGGTAGACTCTCTGACTTGGGTTGAAGGGTGCCGGACGCTTGGTCTTTCCAAAACCATCTCCTCCTGTCTCCCTGGATGGCCTGCTTGCTCTCCTCTGCAGAAAATCCTCATATGCTGGAGTGCCACGAAAGATCTCCAGGTCATAGGCGAAAGGGAGCACGTTCATCTGTGCTCGAACAAGAGTTGCAGAGGCTTGGCAGTAGAAGACTTTCCGGTCGGTGATGGAACCAGTAGCTCTGTATCCAGGAGGCACCCCCACGTTACACATCAGATAGCCGCCCAGTAGAAACTGCGATGATCCTTGCAAGGTGTGCTCCACAGAGTTAGGGAGGCGAGAGTCTCCGATCCGACGATCAACCTCTTTGTTCTTGTAAGCGTTGAAGACCTTGCTGAAGGGCTTTCTATAGGGCGGCTCAGCAACCAAAGTCAAGAGCTTCTGCGTGGACCAAGGCAGAACTAACTGCAAGTTCTCACCTCTGTCCTCATTGAGCAAGGAGTAGGGCTGGACAGGCGATGAGTCCGGCTGAGGCTCGATGTGACCAATCTGGTAGTCCTCATAGTCGACGGGTCCGCCTTCATAGGGATCAATGAGCAGCAAATTTGGCTGCGTAGCAAAATCCTCCATTTCCTTCAAACGAGCAATGAATTCAAGACTAGACCGTCCTGGGACCGGCGGAAAGCAAAGCCCAGGAGTGTCACACGTAGTCAAAAGCGCCCAAAACCTAGCATGAGCTGCTATCTGCACAGAATCGGGGCGCCTCCTCAGCAGTTCAACATCCACCGAAAATCCTCCGCCATAGATGAAGTTGAGAGCGACGATCAAGACATGAGACATCCTCTTCCTCAAAAGGCAGAGCCACTTCCTCTTGGAGAGCTGAGGGCCGCTGCTTGCAAAGATGCCGTAATCAGCAAGGAACAGCGGGAAGACCACGGAATCTGGAGAAGGTTCTCCAGGATGAAGGTGAAAAGTCTGCGCAAGAGGTTTTGAAAATGGAGTTCTGGTAGCCAAAATCCATCTCGGAAGTGCCGCCATCACTCTTGGAACGGTTGAGGTAGCATCATGGGGCTCATCTGCAGGAGCAAGAGCCTCCCTTGCTCGTGAGGTAGTGGGAGGAGGAGACGTGATTGTTCCCCTCCTTCCTGCTGTTCCTCCTTTTTCTTCCAACTTCCCTTGGGCTGACGTTTTGGAGCTCGCTTGGGGCTGGTAGATGAGCTTGGATCCTCCTTCGTTGTCCTCAGTGCGCTTGCATCGCTGCGCTTTGCCACAATCAGGTCGAGCTCTTTGATATAACTCAAAGCGTTTGTGATCCATTTCTGATCTGCGAGAGGTGCAAAGGCTTTTCCTCGAGCATAGCCTGCCAGGTTTCTGTTGGTGAAAACTCCAGCCGGCGGGTCCTACTGTAGGGCAAGCAACAGGCCAATGTCCATCCTTCCGGAATCCAGGGCTGCTTGTTCCAGGCAAACTGCAAGAAGAGCGGTGCCATCCTTTGCAGCTCCGAAATTCTCGTTCTGAAGGTGGTCGAGGATCAGTGCAATCTGCCACATAATGTGGCCCAGATCTCTGCTCCTCCCATAGCCTCCGAACCTCTCCACGTAGTGAGAAGCAACCACCCCCCTCCGTCCCAATTCCATCGGGCTCATATCTGCAGGCTGAGAGGGCTGCGTGCGGCGGGCCATTGAGCTGTAGATTGCATTGAAAGTACCTCGATGAAGAGCCAGCTCCTGCTGCAACCGAGCTCTGCCCTGCGCTCCTTTGACACTCATGCCAAGGCTTCCACTGATGTCCAATCCCAAGTCTCCAGAGGCCATCTGTTGCACCAGTGTGGAGAGTGCCTGACTCTTGGTCAGATCTGGGGAGCTTTCCTCCTCCTTCTCTTTCTCCAATTCCTTCACCTGTGGCGAAGGCTGGAGCATCCACCGCAGTCGAACCCGGCTGCCGTGTAGGAGTGCGGGTCGATGTGCTTCTTGGGGCAGGCATCTCCTCCAGGAAAGTGGCTAACCTCTTCGGTGTGGGAGACAACCTGGCCGCGATGGGTTCGTGGCCAGTTGACCCTCCATGACTTCTGTCCTCTGGCGCAGCATTCTTATCTCCTCCATGATCTGTGGCAAAGTCTGACTCATTGACTCGAGGGAAGATGCCAAACTGTTCACCGTTGGTCGAGGCTTGTTTGCATCTGGCTTGGTCTCTCCTCCAGGCTCTCCTCCTCCAGTGCCAGGTGCTGCCTTTGCCTTTGCATTGCGAGGCCGAGGGGTTCTGGGAGTAGAAGGAAACTCTTCTTCCAGGGCGGAGTAGAATCCCACCCGCTCTCCTGAGCCTGGGTCGCTGATCCAGGTCCACGCGGCGGCAGTGATAGCATCGACCATAGGGAGCTGATGTGCCCTCTCTGAATTGAAAGTGTGGATCATATCGATGGAATGCACTCCTGGATCGAAAGGCGACAAATGATCCCAAACATCTCGAGTCACATCCACCAAAACCACATCCACTGTAGCGTCTGACGCCTGGACAGGTGGATCTTTTCCCGCCAAATCTTCGACTTCGCCAGGACGGTTGACTGGCCCACCTGATCTTCTGCCGAAGCTGTCAGCCCCATGGCCAAGGTCTCCTCTGAAAAGTAGCCATGAGGTACGCATAGGAGAAGTCCATCTCGTCTCCTCAAAATAACCAAAGCCAGAGCCTGACTGTCGCCTTCCTCTGGGGTCTCGCTCACTGGTAACTCCAGCACATGAACAATGAATTCCTCTTGCAAGTCGGATCTCCCAAAAGCCGCCATCTTGTCTAGTCGACGAGATCTTTGCCTCCGTCTCGGCTCCTTCAAAATAGATCTTTGCCTCCGTCTCGGAGGGCCACGCGTGACAGAGCGTATGGCTCTGGGAGAGATCACCCACGTAGGTGAAGAAGTCCGGCGAGCTGTGGAACACCTTTGGATCTCCACCTTGAGGTCCTCGCACCACACACCACACTCGGTTAGGCAGGTCGATGCTCTCAGTGCGATTCGGAGATGAGACTCTGCCTTGCCTAACAGCTCTGGCCCACTGGCCAGCTTTCCAGGCGCGATGAGCCCGTTCGAGTGACGACAATCTCGATCCAGACAGCCTGCTGCTAGCAGCCCCAATCCAAGTAGCAGGGCAAGGGGGAAAAGAAGCCTCAACAGAAGCCCGGGTCTCGCCGGTTCTAGCATAGGTAGGTCCTGGTCTCCCGAAAGCTCGTGGTCTCTCCTCAGATGATGATGCCCTCGGAGCTGGCGATGCCAGGTAGGGTGCCGAGGATGGAACCGGTCTCTGGTCGCTAGCTTGGTCGTGTTGCCCAGTAGTGACCTGCTGCAGGAAGCTCGCAGCAGTACTTGGAGGCCCTCGGACAGTGATTGAAAGCCCAGAAAACTGAATATCAAGTTCAACGACCTCAGGGTCCTCAGCGGTGCCTCTCATACAAGTACTTGGCGGGCTGGACAGTAGGCGGCTCGGACGAGCCAGGTGCAGGCGCCACGAAAGCACCGTGGAGACGCAGCCAGGGGATCACGAAATAACCCCCTGAAAGGCAAAGGATGACTCCTGTGAGGAGCCGGAGCAGGAAGGAAGCCAACAGGCCCCCCAGCCAGGGGAAAGAACAGTAGAATGGGCAGCCGAGCCCGAAGGATTGGAACTCAGTCCAGAATGAGCAAGATGTAGGGCTGCCGAGAGGTCCATTCACTACCCTAGAAGCTTGAGACGGCGGTGGCATTCATCACGTTCCTACAAACTCAACTGTCAAGAGAGAACCCCAAAACATTTAACATGAACTGTTTGGGGAACGAATCAGTTGACGAGACACTTCAACTGCATCACATGAAATATGCGAGTATGTATAAGGATGAGGAACTTCAAGGAAACTGCATTAATGCAAGCACAGTTTGCCTGTGCCTATTGATTTTGATTTGGCATGTAGAAATGTTAAAAGTTAAAACACACCCACTACACATCAGCCAAAATATATGTCAAGCGTACGGGGCCAGAATTAATCTCCGAGCGGCAACTGTAGGTGAATATCCTCAAGCTCAGTATCAAACCTTTCAAGCAGTATGTTCAGATTGGTTTGCCTTCAACCTATGCTTCAATAATCTGACTATATTATATATATATATACAGTATACATTTTATACAAGTTGTTCATCACTTGTCTGCTGGTCGGAAAATCCGCAACATCGGGCCTAAGCTTCTCTGGCTCTGGCATCAAGCTCTCAACCTCATGATGAATGTTCGAGGGCAACTTAAATGTATTTCATTTGTCCTTTGCTTTACGTCGCTGGACTATTTCTGTCATAATGAAGGGCAGGTGGAGATGCTAAACCTTGGTGCATACTGTCTATAGGTTATTCCTTGTAAAGCAACACTAGATGTCATCCAAGTCTTTTTCAGCTTTGAATATGGAATTCTTAACAGTTCTCCTGCCACTCCATTTAGCTATAAGAACCCCAAGAAAGCACCTTTCCAGGTCCATAGCACCAAAAGTGTCCTCTTCGCAACGCAAAGTCTCAAAATCAAATGCTCCCCAGGCCTCGCTGAGAAGTGCCACATCGCTGGAGCTCAAGCCGGAGAAAAAATGCCGGGAGCCGCCATCCTATCAAAAATCAGAACTCAGGCGCTGAATATGACTCCAAATGGTTCCCCACGGATTCATCTGGTGTTGCTGCTTTTCTGGAAAAGGAAATGGTGATATAAGGCACTCCCAAAAAGAATAGGCCTACCAAATGTGAGTTCTTTTGGTTAAATCTACCTTTTGGGGGATACCGTACATATATACATATAATATAATATATATATATATATCGTCTATACATGTGTACAGAGCAAGATAGATCCCAGAAGACAGGGAAAAGTGAAAAAATCAGGCCAAACATTTGCAAACGTTTGCAAACAAAATCAGTCTACAATTACAGATGCATCATCTAGGATTCAACGCTTTTGAGATCTTGAATTGTGAACCTTGGATCTTGAATCTTGGATCTTGAACCTTGGATATTGAATCTTGGATCCAGGTAGTACTTGAAATAACGTGTTCCACAAGAACTGTTTGCAAACGTTTGCAATGACCCCAAACATGCCACAATATCAATCACATTATGAAGAACGTTGGCAGATGTGAAGAAGCTGTCAAGGTAAAGCACTACATCAAAAATGGGTGTTGCATAAATACATTCAATGCAGGACAATATGATTTTGAAGGAGGTTGCAATCACGGACAAGGTATGTTTGGGGGCCGGTCAGCCATTGCAAACGTTTGCAAACGGTTCCTGTGGCAAAACTTATTCCAAGTAGTGCCTGATCCAAGATTCAAGATTCGCAAAACAGGCAAGAAAGTTAGACTTTTCAGGGGGAGTATGTAGCACAAATACACAGTATATATTGCACGTTACACACGTCTTCAAACCTGAATATGAAGCACCTCCAAGAAGGTAGACCGTGCCTGGAGTCAATCCACGCCCAAGCAGGCTGTACAGGCTCATGATTGAGCGGGCTTGGACCATGGACCGCGACATCAAGATGCATGGTGTTCATCCTGTGTGCTCCACTAGGCTCGTATTGTAATAGCAGAATAGCGTTGCCGCAGCACATGTTGCAAGAAGCTTTTGAAGAAGTTCCGAATGTCATAAATCTACTACAGAAGGTCAAAATTACTGAAATTACCATGAACACTAACACCAACCCTCAGGAAGCTGCAATGTCACAAAAATCAAAGTTGTCAAACCAAGGACAGCAGGGGCTGTACCAGTCGAAAAGCTTCTGAGATTTGCCCAACCTTGCAGCATTGCTGAAAGAACAAGCTCCCTAAGAAAGTTTGTTGAAATGTTGTCATTTCAACATCTCTCATGACCACATCCTGTAGAATCATATCAGTGCGCAACCATACAAAGGCTGCCGGCGCCTCAAAATGCAGCTTCACCAGAATGGAGAAGGTGATGTTGGACGGTTGCACTCGAGACTGCAACATTTCCTGGAACAATAAAACTGCAAAGAATACAGGTCTCAGCTTTCCAGACTGTGTTCCTCGTTTTTTCAAGCTAGATGAAGGTCAGCAAGTAAAAGGCTGACAAGGACACCTACACAATTTCCATCCTACCCAGCCTCAAAGACGGAGAGTCCCTCATGTAGTTTTCGAGCTTTTGCGCAGCCATCGATGAGGCTGTTGTACATGATCTCATCGCACTTCAGGCCTCGAGCCTTCAGCTCTTTCGACAAAGCCAAGGCTTTGTGCACCTCACCAATATGGCTGTAACCTTTGATCAAGGTGCTGAATGTGATGAGGTCTGGCTCAATTCCCATCTGCATCATGTCTTGTAGGAAATAGGCCGCAGTTTGCAAGTCACCACAACGCACACAAACATCCATAAGAGAATTGAAGGTTACCAAATTGCACGGCACACCTTCCATCCGCATTTCGTGATAGAGATTCATGGCTCCCTGCAAATCTCGAATCTTCGCCAAACCTTTGATCAACGTTGCATAAAGCACTGTATTCTTGTGCATTCCTTGCATGCGCATCTCCTGAAAAATTGCCATGGCTTTGTCAAGGGAGTTGCACTTTACACAAGCATCTAGGACGCAGCCGCAGGTGACAGGGTTGATGCCCAAGCAGCGACTTCGCATTTGGTTCCACACTTTGATCACTGACTCGGTGTCACGTGCTCTCCCATAGGCTTTGACAACTGTACCAAAGGTCACGGCAGATGGAGACACCCCGTAGTCATTCATCTTGTTCAATGTCTGCTGAAGCTTCAGCATGTCTCCTGTTTGACCCAATACATTCAACAAAGAGTTGAAGACAATCTCATCTACATCTTCCTGTTGCTGCTCAATGAACTTATCCACAAGGTTGATGCCCCGCCGAACCCAACGCTTGTCGTTCGACGACTCTAGGCTCTTCGTGAGGATTGAAACGAAATACTTGTCAGCCTTCCGCCCAGATTTCAGCAGAAGCTCAAGAACATCCCAGGCCTCTCCGTAGGATCTTGCGCGGACTGCTGCGTCAAGCATCAGGTTGAAGACATGGTCACTGGGAGCAGAAGCTCCAGGCTGGCAAAGGGCGTGGAGGAGTTCAACCTTGGTGCTGCGGAAAAGACCTACATTTTCTTTGTTCCTAAAAGCGATGGCTTCCAACCTAATGACGATGGCCTCCAACCTAATAGCAAACTACAATAGACCTTTCTTCCATACCAGAATGTCTCCAGGTCCCCACATGCACTGAGGCTCTGGCAGCGCGGCCATGCAGCTGCGCATGCAGCAAGGCTCGCAGAAGTTGTTCAGCTGAAGACATCGTCAACTGCTCCCAGCCCTTCGGTAAACGAAGAGCCTCACGTGAAAAGGAACATCACACTGTCAACCCCCCCTCGGCATGAAATTGTTTGAAAGGTTTTGGGGGGTCTCAATAATGCGCTCTCCTCTGAAGCTTATTTAACTGGCCTTCATTTGTTTTTATGTTGCTTTCATTTACGTTCGTGATTCATGTCACTTTCATGTTGCTTGCATTTACAGTAATTCTGCTTCCATATGGTTTCGTGTTGCTTTAATGTGCTTTCATGTTCCTTTCATGTTGCTTTCATTCTGCTTTCATTTTGTCTTGAGCGTTCTGGGTGGGATTGGGCACCTGGACCTGAATTGCGGACAGATGGATCCAGACCATTATTATGCCTCCAAAAACCCGACTTTGGTGCTAAACTTTAGATACTATTTTTTCTGGCGAGCTTGCACTATGAATGCAGACCTCCTCTGAATTACAAATTATATAAACATTAGGTTGAAATGACTTTTGGATCTCGTGACGACTCGACGTCCATCAAGGCAGTACGCACAAACCAAAAACTGTTGGCTTCTTCTATCTAGTCTAGTTGCACTTTCTTCTACTCTCATTGAATATCGAATACGGGAAGGATGCAATTGTGATGAAGTGGTTTTCCTCTTGAACTCTAGTGACTCGTGCCTCAAGCGCGAAGGAGCAAGCTGATTCCAGCTGGTCCTGGTTCTCATTGGAATAAAGGGTCATCTGCAGATGCAGATGGCATGGCTGAATTTGCAATTTGGAAACAAGTTGTCCAAGAGTGTTGGCTTTTCTTTGCTTCCAAAGTTCTGCATGGACCGATTGAAAACCAGAGAGGCAGCATGTGTATGTCACAATCGTTGTGTCCTGCTGAATGTACCCCTCAATCACAGTCTGGCGTACGGATGCAAGAGAAGCTGCTGACGCCTCCCGAGCTCAAAAGCTGGAAGAACTTGCAAAGCATGAGAGAAATGTGTGTTCCATTCAAATGATTCCTTCAACCCACAAACCCGTCCGATCCCTAGATCTTCATTGAATGATTTGTCATGCAAAGCTCTTCATGAAGAGATGAAGAGGCGCCTTTGTGTGTTTCTGTGTTTGTGCAGTCAACCTGTCCTGTCACATGAACATGTTGTCAAAAGTTGCTTCTCTATCTCCATCTGTTAGAAGCAAGTTTGGACATAAACTTCAAACATTCACATAAGTACTTGAGGAGAACAGCAAAACTTAGAGTCTGAGTTGAGGTGTTTCCTTTCACTTTGCAAGGTCATACTCTTTTGGAACTTGATTTCTGCTTTAACAGCCGACAAATCAGTGTGTCCTAGCCATTGTTCAATAGAAATGTTCTTCGCTACTGGGGAAGGTCTCTCACCTCTGACTCAGCAATGTGTCCAGTATTGAAATAAGGCTTGTTTCCTCTCAAAATAATCCTTCCCATAGTACTCTGCATCGGTTGTATGAGTTAGTCTAAATACTGCATGTTTTGGGCATTCAATGGACGCAAGAGTCACTTGCTGCAAGCGATAACTAGGTCACTAGGTTGAACAGGCAGAAGTTTGTCATACATTCGCACAACCTATTGATCCCCACTCTGCCCGTAGGAAAGTTCCAACATGATTGCGCTCACTTGATGAAAGCAGCAAACACTAGTGTTGCACTCGTTGACAACGGCTGGCTAGATGCATGGCAGCAATGGATGTGGTGAAGGCACGCAACCAAATTTACACCCACCGAACGATGAAAATTTACTGGACAATGACCCATTGAGTCCATGGAAAAGCGTATATTTTGCTGGTCACATCAGCCATTACCACTGCCGGCAACACTCTTTTCAGGTACTTTGGAATGAAGAAAAAAAGAACTGCAGCGACAAGAAACTTGATGCCAGAGACCCTGATGCTGCTTGAAGATTGTTTTCTCTGGATTCAAAGGGCACCAGAAGCTGACGGCTTGCAACACTTACCCCAGAAACTTGCGCGAGAGAACATTCAAAGCAAGTATGTGATATTGCACTCCATTGAAAACCATTGCACCTCTTTGCATTCATTTCGAATCAAATCCTTGCGACGCTCAAAGGCATCTTCACAGCAGCAAAGAAAACTTTGGACATTTCAAGTGCTTACTGTGTGTTATTTCACATGTATATAAACAAAAGCCATCCAAAAAGAATTAATCAAAAATCAAAAAATTGAAAACTTGTGTTGTCCAGAATACGGTTCTAAGGCTGCAACTGCTGCTTCATCCAGCTCACCTCCTTGCGCCAAACTGCTGGCACAGTGGAGCGCCTGTGCAAACAACAAAAATTTAAAAATATAAATGCATTTTAACAAAATCAGAACCAAAAAGAAAGGTTTGCCTCAGCACCATTTCCAAGCACCTTCAAACCAACTGACCCACACTTTCATGAACAATCCATGAATATCTTGAGCTGTGACAACTCACATGCCAGTTTGACACATCTGGTTGCGGCTTGAAAGTGAAGTTCGAACTCAAATTCTGTTCAAAACCCTGTCTTGCCTCAGCCATCCTTCCACCTACAAATTTCCTCTTTGATCCGGCAACACGCTGCAATCATGTTCTGTGCGTTGACAAGCCCTACATCCAGTCACGTCTACTTGTTAAACTCTCATTCCACTGACATAACAGGAAAGTTGCTTGCAGGTTTTCTAGGCGGAACCATTGGTAAAGGAAGCCAACATACTGCAAACTGACGACCGCGGTGACAGTCTATCAAACGAAGTCAGACATGTGCACGCTGGTGGGAAAAGTGAATTGGAGTTGCAAGCGAAAGCTGCTTGCCAAGGCTGCGTGAGACGCGCATAGTTTCTTTGGTGATGCGATACACACTAAAATCATTAAAGCACACAGGCAGTTCCACAAGGATTGTAAATATGGTTGCATTACGATGACACAGTAAAGCAAAGAGAGTTGTGAGACGGCTAACAAGCGAGTGCCAGAGAAGGTGAGAAAAGGATGAAACAAAAAGGATGCTCACAGGAGGAGGGAAACAAAGACCTCTCCCAGTCACCAGTCAATGTTCATGCAGGTTTATATGCACTAACATGTTTGGATTCAAGTCCTGCCCCAAAGATGTCTTCCAGTCCAGGAAGGAAAAGGTTTGTGTTGGTTTTGTGCTAGGTAAGCGGCTCTTTTGGACCACACGTGCTGCGGACGCGGTAAGCCAGTTCGAACCTATACATGAGCAAACTGTAGAAACAGCCGTTAAGCTGCAACTCCTGCTTTGGGCCGCGAGCTGCGAAGGTAAAGTCAACATGACATCCTACTATGTGCAAGGTACAAAGTGTACATATTACATGGAGTGAAAATACACCCCCCTCAGCTAAGGTAGCTTTGCTCCCGAAGCTGGACGCGGAAAGTGCACGAGGGCTTGTGCAGGGCGCGACAGTGATGTCGGCTCAAAGCTGCATGGCAGTTGTGGATGCTAGCAATCCACTGCCTTCGTGGCCCTGTACGTGCATTTTAACTATTCACTCCCCGCCGCCAAAAGAAATTGAAAGTTTGGACTTGGGAGGAAAACCGCATACATATTGACAATGGATGTCATGCAATGAATTATGCTCGCTCAGGCAAAAAGGTTGAGACTTGGCTCAACTAACGCCAATGCCACTGGCTCCGACTCGAGCTCCAGTCCCACGAACGGCGGTCCCACTGCCGCTGCTCGCCCCACTCGCTCCAGTTCCATGAGCTCCATCCCCACGAGGACGATGCTGATCCGGATGCACGTGGGCTCACCGGTGAAGGTGGCGGACCTCCCTTTGCCTTTGAAGCTGGAGTTCCATCACCTCCGGTAGAGGACTTGCGCTTGCCCTTGCTCTGCTGCTGGCGCTGCTCTTGAGTCTGCTTGTTGACCACATCACGCCTGGCAGCGGAGAGGTTGTCGTGGCATAGCTGGCGAAGCTCCTCCATTGCGCAGTATTGACTCATCTGATGCACACCGTCCCAAGCCAAAAGGCCACGATGGGAGTCGGGTGAGTTGATGTACTCGATGTACTCACGCAAGGAGAGGATGTTTGTGCGATAGATCACGCACCATTGCTCAGGAATGTAGTCCATGGCTTGTGGATAGCGATCGGGCGCTACGTCGATGTAGGCCAGCCGTGCCAGAGAATGATCTTCGTCATATCCAAGGCCCAGGCTGACTTGCGCTTTGTTGCGCGGCGGGTTCGCCAAGTGAGCATGGCAAAGCCAATCCTGCCGCTGCGCTGCCCGATGGTCATAGCCCATTTGTAGCATTCGTTCCATGAACTGGACGTCATGCTCGAAGCGATCCTCGATGCTCTGGAAGCCGCACTTGTCTGCACGCTTCATCCGGCTGCGAGCGTCTTGGATCATGATCGCTTCTGGGCTCATGTTTCCACGGCCGCTTGCAGACACCACACGCAGGTTGAGGCCAGCCTTGATGTAGTCACTGACTGGGCACTCGGTGCGAGCGAGGCCGGCCCTCGCAAGCTGCTGCTTTCGGAGAACTGAGAGTCTGGTGACCGCTTCCTCCGGCAGCTCGGTGTTGGTGGCAAGTTCGGCTGAACAAATGTCACAGTGGGTCATGCCCCTGAGGACTAGACCCTTGCATTGGCTGCATTCGACCTGGATCACCGTCAGCTTGCGTCCCTTTCGAAGTGTCGGGGCGGTGATCGGCGCATCAAAGCCAGGTGGGGGCCCCGCAGGCTCAGGCGGAGCGTACCCGCTGTAAGATGCTGCAGGTTGATCTTGCTCTGCCTCATTCACGATGGAAGTAGGTGGAGTCGAAGGTGCAGCCTTGCTTGCAGGTGCCGATTTGCTGGTTGCAGTCAGGGAAACAGGCATTGCTTTTGCGGTTGGCCGGGGCTCGCCAGTGATGGCGGCCCGGCTCTCACCTCCATCCGCTGGAGCAGCCTGGGGTAGGCCAACGGCACTTACCCTGGTCCAGAGTGTGGACTGGCTTTCGGTGTTTTCGACGGAGACAATGTATTCTGGAGGTACCGTGTCAACCGTCATGATCC